TGGCTGGGGAATTCTGGGAGTTGAAGTCCACTCATCTTAAAGTGGCCAAGTTTGGACAACACTGCTATAAGGAAACAGATTGCTGAGCAGCTCCAAGTTGTCAGGAGAAGAGGGAAGTGGAGAACACTGTATTGGCTGCTTCAGAATGGAGGGACAATGAATGGCAGAGGTCGGCATCTCCAACTGAGCTATGTCGTGCTCATGGTGTGCACCCAGAACATAGTAAGTTGCACACCCGTGAAAAACAGTTGCTTCTCTTCTCTGAAGAATGGGGTGGTCCCTTGTGGTTCCTTTTGCAACTAAAGAAAAAGAGCAATGCTTTAGCTTTTTAAAACATCTCGCCAGGCAGAAAACATTCTGGAAATTGGAAGACAGGTTTCACCACAGTATCAGTTCTGATAGCCAAGAGCTTAATGGGATTTAAGGCTTAATGAGATTTTTAGCTGTAAGTTCTTAGGTTGTTGCAAGGCCATGTGCCCTTAGATAGACTCTGTACGAATAACAGTTCCCAAGTTGACACTGTACAGCAGTGTCAAGTACAGTAAAAGGAGCTGTTTACAGGGTTGCTCTAACCTGGTCATTTTAATTCAGACATTCAGGAATTCAGGCTCCCTCTGGGGGAATGACTGTGAGGCCAGAGACGCATGCATCGATAATAATTAGTGAGTTTTAATTTTTTTTTTTCAAATTATTTTTCAAGTTAGCAAAAGCTTTTTATGACACCTCTATGAAATCCATCTGGGTTCCATTCATAATGGGTGATGATGAGAAGGTAGATATGCAGAGGAGACAAGAGATTGACTTTGTTACTGATGATTTCTAGCCCCAAAGGAAGGAAATAAACAAAACAAAATGGATCCAACTGGCACAAATGCTATGAGAAAGACAGCATGAGCTGTGCTTGCCAAATGGAAAAAGAGTAAATCAGTGGAAGGAGGATTTGTTTACCACTCTAGAAAGAAATTCAAGTCAGAGAAAGATTTTTAGGGGGTAAAAGGGGATTTATGTTTTTTTTTTTTTTAAATAGCCATGTAGGAGTATCCATTTACAGTGCCTACAATTAATATTGGCTGGTTTTCCATATTTTTTAGTTGTGAACTAAAGTGTGGAAGAGTAAATGACCCTCTCTGAATGCATCCACAGGGAAATTTAAACAAAAGGAAAGTTCGAAGGGGGTGATGGTGGAGGGAAAGAGATAGATTTCTTTTACTTTTTTTCATTTGTGATTAAAAGATGCTTTTTTTGTGGAGACATTCTTGGCAACACGCTATGTTTTTCTTTCCCTCCTCCCCTTTCTTAACTGGGTCTTGTCACCATGTATACCAAAAGGAGAGAGAATGAGAGCAAGAGTGCAGAAGTGTAAGATTTTCTTGACATGTAAAATATTAGCTGCTGCTGTGTAGGGTGGTTTATAAATGTCTGTGGCTGTTTACAGGAACTTGTTAAAGATCAGAACAAGATATGGCCAGTGCTAGAGCTGGGGAGATGAATAATCTTGTGCACAGCGCTGTCCAGGTTTTTGCATGGAGCCTGCTCTCAATTCAGTTAAGAACCTGTTTCAGTAGAGACACAGCTAACAGCATTTTTTTTTTCCTCCGTACAATCTGCATGACCGGGTTCATGCAGCAGCATGGAAAGGCCTTTCTTTTTCACAGAATTTGCTTGCTTATGGGCCCATTCTCATGATTAGCTTCTCACAATGAATAAGAAATAGCTGGCCAGTTATGTAGAGCAGGGTCCCTCAACCTTGGCAACTTTAAGATGGGTGGACTTCAACTCCCAGAATTCCCCAGCTGGCTGGGGAATTCTGGGAGTTGAAGTCCACCTGTCTTAAAGTTGCCAAGGTTGAGGAACCCTGATGTAGAGGACAGCTGAGGCAATGCTGACAAATGACAGAACAGAAAACTTTGTTTGAGCCCTCCATTCTACAAAGGACAGGAAATTTCCAGTATTTATTGCAAATTTACAGTAAACCAACCAGGTTAGGCACCATATACACTGGTTGAATCAATAACTGGACCAAATTCATCGCATAAGTTCCATAGTGAAATGGGAATCTACCTACTGCAGAATTAATTACTGTACAGAATGTATACTAAATGAAATAATGAATGCAATACGGTTAATGAGGGGGCCAGTCCATTATTAGATTAAGCCAGTTCCATACTTTTTCTTCCTGTCCGGATTGAAATACACACATATACACGCTTGGATTTTGCTGCTGTTTTATCTCAAAACAGATATTTCCTAACCTTCTTTACAACTTTCTGCATGCACTTTATTGTACAGGACACGCATTTATAAGAAGTCTCACCTATAATACCCTCATCAGTAGAAAAATTAGTTTTCTGAGTTTTATAGAGTTGTAAATTATTTTACAAAATTTAGAAAAGTACATGCATTTGTTTGGGGAGATGAATCAGTCAGGTTGCTTCAAAATGCAGACCAAATGAAGAGTTCAAGGATTACTTGCTTTGAAAGAATAAATGGAATTCATCAGTGCCTAATATTTTGTTGGCCAACCTGTCCTTCCTGCCCTTCCTGCAACAATCTCCATCTCCCTACTAGTGACTTAGAACATCTTCTTCACCCGAATCAGCCACTGTTGAAGTGATGTAAAGCCTGTTCTCATTACTGCTTATGTGGCGCAATGATGGTTGGGTGACTCTAGAAAATGCTCAAGTCGCTAGTGGGGAAATTACCTACAAATACCATATTTCACAGCATCTTGATATCAGTAATTAAGAGACCTCAATTTTCCT